AAGGACATTTGTGCTTAACCCTTTGCAAGCCACGGGCATATGCCCAGAGCCTCTATAAGTCCATAAGAATTTAATACTTGGCGTTAATATGTTATACATCAATATCTGCTTATTGAAGGAGATACCCATGGCGTCCAAAGGGTTAAACCCACGCTATACTTTAGGATATCGAGATAGGGATGAACTCTCTACAAGGAAATCATGGGAAGGGATGAACTCTCTACATAGTGTCCCTTGTTCTGAGATTCTACAGCAATTATTATAGCACACACAATCATGACTCCTGCAAGCCCAAATTGCAAGTGAAGGTTATTGGGCAATACACTTGAAAACAGGGCTACTCATTGCATGCAGGCAGGAGGAGCAAAGTGACTCTTGAGCTACTTCTCTGTTGGCTAAGCTATAGCTAACAGTTGGAAAATTGCCTGCACCATCAGAAAATTGTTTTAAAATGCTTAAAACCATTGGAAGTATACATATACAGAGAAAAACTATTATTATTGCATAGCACCATTTGCCACAAAGTGATGTTTACTGTTACATCTGCTAAATGACAGTAGGCAAATTACGGTAAATTAGCTAGGGTCTTACCCACTTCCCCACAGTTGATTGCCACCCAATTATACTGGACTGGACCCAGGCATGAGAGCAAATACGTGCACCCCTCAGGACAGTCCATGATGATAGGCAAACACCTGTGACCATTATTATTGAAAATGAACTCTCAGTAGTGCATGTAAATTAATAATGAGCAAGGTAGTATTAACACAGCCTGCAAAACCAGATTATTACGTACTTCATCAAAAACTAAAAGCCATCTCTTGCCCATCTTTATATTCTTTGAAGGGAACTGTAGTGCAGTCGAAACACTTCGCTGAAGACCAATTTTCGACCAGTGTAGTAACTGGTGGATGGAAAAAAATTCTGTCGTGACAGAGAGTATAGTATAGGGTTGCGGAGGAGAGTATAGACTAAGTACCTATATACAGCTAAGCAAGTGGGCTCAATTGGAGCTTAGCTCTCTGGTACACCTCAACAACCTTGTAACAAACCAGCTGTTTAAGAGATATGCACAAATCATCACCTAGTCTTGCTTTTTTACTAACTATTAATGGAGTTAACCCTCATCCACACCTTTCTGCTTAAAACTAAACATCCTAGGTGGTTGGTAAAAATTTCTACCACCAACTCTTTCTTTCATCTTAGAGTGAAAAATTCACAATTAAAGCGAGCTACAGCGACACCTTCTTGGTCATTAATTGATTAGTTGCTGTCAAAGAGAGAAAAAAGGTTATATAAGTTGTGGAAGAAACAGGGTTCACAGACTCTTCGTAGGGAATACACAGTTCTTCGAAATACTCTCGCCATATTACTGAAGTCTGCGAAGAAGCACTTCTTCAGAAATTAGAACACATCTGCTATTCTGGAAAACGGTTCATTTGATTCACCTTCTGTTCCTACCCTCATCCATGACACCGGCAAGACCGTTTCTGGTAAAGAAAAAGTCGAAGTTCTCTCTGAGGTTTTTGGGAAGTGTTTCACATCGTCAGTTTCTCCTCTTGGTTTTAGCTGATCTTGACACTTTTGGTAATACTGCACAGCAGTGTCCAAATGAGCTTTTGTGTACTGTTGAACAGGTAGAACACCTTGTAGGGTCTCTTGATGTCACCAAATCACCAGGTCCAGATGGAATTTCAGCTAAGATGCTTAAATATGTTGCTCAGAGCATTGCTCCTTCAGTAACGAGACTAGTTAATCAATCAAATCTGACTGGTGTCCTGTGCTTTGTAAAGTGTCCAACATAGGTGATAATATGAACCCCTGCAATTACAGACCAATCTCTCTTCTTCCAATACTGAGCAAGGTTCTGGAGAAACATGTGGCAAATTTATTGACAGATCTGATTATGGATATATCTCTCATTTCTGAATCCCAATGGGGATTTCTATCTGGCAGATCCACAACCTTAGCTTTGCTCTCCGTCACTGAGAGTTGGCATAAATATTTAGAATCTGGTACCGAGATCTGCTCAGTCTTCCTTGACCTCCGGAAAGCGTTTGACTCAGTTCCTAATCGCAACCTCCTCCTGGTTCTGAAGCAGACCCTTGTCTACCAGTATACCTCCTAGGTGTCTATATCAGCTGATCTCTCCTGGGGTGAGCACATTCATGCCCTGTGTACAAAAGTTAAAAAAATGCTGGGTCTCATGTATAGAACCTTTTATGACAACGCATCTCCATCTACCCTCTTGAAACTGTATGTTTCCCTCATTCGGCCATCTTTGGAGTACGCCTGCCAGGTGTGGAACCCTTATCTTACTAAGGATATTGAGAAACTTGAGAAAGTGCAGAAATTTTCGTCTTGTTTTAAACAATGGGATCTTGATTATTAGTCTCTTGTTTTTACTTCTGACCTCCCAACACTTGCCACACGGTGGAAATACTTTAACCTCTGCACAATGTTCAACATTGTCAACCAGCTGTCACAATTCTCTCAGGAAATCTTTACCTTAGAACCACTCCCTTACACTCGTCAAATCACTTATATTGTCAGCCTTTATGACTAACTCGGACCCCAAGGACCTGCTCAGACTGGAACTCACTCCCTCTTTCTATCAGATCATCTGATTGCATCTCCTCCTTCAAGTCTTCTTTGAGAGAGTGGTTGAATATGATACAGTCATGCACGGCCACGTACTAGCTTATTGCTATTTTTGTCATCGCAATATCATATTATAGAGAAAAAAAGGAAAAAAGAAGGAAAAAGTCCACGTGTTAACCACATCTTTACATGAGCTTAAACTGGTTGCAAAACATTATAACTACTGCTGAGACTAGTCTTGAAGTTACAAAACACCAGCTATATACCAATTCATTCACACAGTGTTGTTCCTGGTAATACTCCCATAAAAACACAGCGATTTCAGTCTACGAGAAAACGGAAGAAGCTAATCCAATTGCGCTTGGCAAAACCTACCCGTGAGGAGAAACAGGGAGTGTTTAGAACAAAACAGACCACAGCAGAAATGGGAGTTTATAAACGTTGTTACCACACAGGACTGTGGGCATGCGCAGTGAGGATTACTGTCAGCAGCGTGTGGCCACGCACGAGGGGTCTGGTAGAGCCAATCTCATCCAGGCCAATCCGGCGATGTCTGAAGAGGGAAGGAGCGTTGACCCGTCTGGGGTGGGCAAGGAGCTCATGAAGGAAGTGCGTGGCTAGTTGCGGCGGGGGATCAGCAAAATGTCAGGAAGAGGCGGTGCCGTCACAGGAGACATAGAGGTGAGTAAAATGGACGTTCTATCTACTGTACAACGAGTATCCTGTAGTGTATTTTTTGTGTGCAAAACCTCTCAGTGATGCACATGGTACTGTATGTTCAGGAGGTGGAGAAACAGTACAAGCAGCATGTGGCAGAGGGAGGGGCCAGTGATGAGCTCAGGTTCTCATATGCAGTGTACCTCATCAAGAGTGACTTGAAGAATGACATCAGGAAGGGCATCAGACTCATGGAGAGTGAGTTAAGACGTCTGACGATGTCATATAGCCTACTAGTGTTCAGATGCACATTGATACAGTAAGGGTGGCAGACCAAAGTGTAAACATGTGGTGGTCATTGCATTTACCATCGACCTCTGTATAGCGAACACGCCGATACCATGAAATTGTCCTTTCTACTTGTGTCCTCTTTGTACACAACAGTACATGGCAAAAAAAACGTTCCAACTACGCCGCCGTAGTACGGTGACACCGTAGCAAAATGTTCGACGGTGAATCTACGGTAGACAGTAGAGCACCGTAGCCGCGAAACGTGTAGCCCACCATAGTAAAGTAAACGGTTGCAGCTAAAGGGCAAACAAACAACGGGTAAGCTGAGAGTAAGCTAAGAAAACTAGCATTGTAGCACAGTCGTTGCTTTTGCTGTTTGCTATCGCTTCTTGCTCTCCTTGCGTCCGCTGAGCGTGCGTGCGATCACGCCCACTGAAACGTGCATCAACATGGCAAGAGCAGCGCATCGATCGTCTTGCCGCCATGCGAACGACATGTGGATCTTCTGGCGGTAGCTAGCTAAAGCTGCATGGGGCCACATTGCTTAGTATAGGACTGTAGCTGGGTCTTTGGAAACTACGGTGTCCACGAAAACGGCTGCATTCCTCGACAGGACAGGATCCAGAGCGTCTCAATGGACAGCTCCACCTGCTTGGGAAGAGAGAACTTATGCAGGAATGTGTCGTCTGCAGTGACCGCAGCAAGAAGAGACACCGCAGCAACTACTTCTGCAAGACTTGCTCCTCTTCTCCGACCTTGTGCCCGACAATTTGCTTCGAGAAGTACATGTCAAAACTACTAATAGACTATTACTTACATTTAGCAGTATGAACAGCAAGTTATACACACATGACAGGAATGGAATGCAGTGTTACATATGACAGCATAAAACAATATGTAACAACGCACCAAAACGCTATTCAAGCAAAGCATAGACATTCTCCCCAGATTTCGAAGAAAATCTGAGCTGTATGTCCGTCTGCGAGATGCACAACACACAAAGTAAACGCATTCAGCCACATTTCAGTTGGAGAGGCTTTACAACAGAATTGGGGCTGAAATGTCTTTTATGGAATTTTAAGCCACGAAGAGGCAGGCAGAGGAAGGGTTGGAGTAAGGTCATTGATGATCTCTTTTCGTCATTAGGTCTTGACAAGGCAGAGTGGTTGCATGATATTCAAAATGGGGATTGCTCCTTGAAGGGCTTTTTGTCTATAATAGGGGACAGTATTAATGAGAGGGAGATTAGAATTAAAGCTGTTATTGTATAAGACATTTAACAAGGTGGTAAAGTTCAAAAAGTACTTGCATGGGAAAAGTGATGCTGGGTCTAGATTAATGTTTAAGTTCAGGGTTCAGGTCAGGCACGCATGGGCTAAATGAGGAACTGGGCAGGCATAGGGGGAGGGAGGGGTGAAAGAGTGCCTGTTGTGTGATGATGAGTGTGAAAGTGTGAGTCATGTGTTGTGGGAGTGTCCAGCATATAGTAGTCTTAGGAGCAATTTCTTAGTTGCCCTGCAGGGGAAGCTTGGGGATGATGGGTTTGAGCATTTCCAGTCGGTTGATAGTTTCAGGAAAGCTGGGTAGTGAACTGTGGGAGGATAATTTTGGTTCTTTGCTTGGCCTTGTTAAAGATTTTATTTTGGATGTTTGGGAGCTAAGAAAGGTTAGGTTATACGGCGATAGTCCCTGTGTACAACAAACCCAGTCTCAGATTGCATCTGGGGAGCTGCAGGGTGTCGCTGGTGGAAGGGGTGAGTTGAGGTGTCTGGGAGGTGAGACAGACACCTCATGTTCATATGGTGTATGTTCGTGTGTTAACGGTTCCGCCCATTGCTCTGGGTGCGTGGTCTATGGCCCTAGTGCTATGGCAGCCACCTGAGTATTATTGTTGTACTTCTTACAGATGACTGTAAAATATTGTTAAGCCCTTCTTGATCAACCGAATAACCATTACAGCCACAAAAACTACTGCTACAGACTTAGCGTGTGCGTGCGTTACTAACCTGCGATGTCATCCAGTTGTTAGTCCCACATCCAGCGCCATACAAGTGCAATACCGTGATTGTTTGGTCCCTCGAAGGTGTAGCTCTTACTTCCAGGGCAAGATAGTGCCGTCCGGTTCACTCTTGACCCACAGTGGGCGCTCCAACACACCCGCGCAAAACACGACGCAATTTTATCTAAAAACTAGGAGCTGGGGCGTGTCCGTGCGTGCCCAATTCGCGGAGTGGAATGAGTTAATAATGAATTACTACTTGCCTTCTTGTCTGATGTCCTTTGCTGGATTCATTACTGCAACTTTGGGTGGCATGTTGTGCCTTCCGTTTGTATGTTTAACTTTGTATTGTGTAACCAGGTGATATCAGTCAGGGGAAGGACCAGAGAGACCATTTCTACTTCATTGCTATGGGACACTATAAATTGGAGGTACATACAACTCATTAACATGGCTGTTTTGTTGTGACAGAGTGAGTAAAAACCAAACTTGAGGTGCGATCGTTTTCGTCTCCGCGTGAGAACACGTTTGTTGCTGTGTGCGGTTGTGTTTGTCACTGCGAATGGACGTTTGTCTCCGCATATAGACACTCGTCACATGCGCGTATTTTACTGCATGTGACACCACTATGCATGTCTCTCCCTGTAAAGTGGCACCACACCTTCTTTGGGACAGCCAAGACGGGTCAAGGCAGCTTTTACTCGGGATCCACTGGGAAAACACCATAGAGTCCAGCTCTGTGGTAAAATTTGATCTATCCGCAATGCCTGCTATCAATGTGAAGTCCTGCCTGCAGTGGCTTGTGCAGTGCAGTGCAGTTCAGCTCTTTCGCGGGCCTAGCATCGTACTCACGAACCCTTCGCCCCCTGCCTAGTTTCTTCCCTGCGTCAGTCGCAGAGAAGCCTCTGGATGTCGTAGTAGTAGTAGTGTCAGTCTCAGGTGGTGCATCCTGCTGGGGATTTGAGTCTCTGCTCGACTGCATCACCTTTGCTTTTCCATCATGACCATCACCGTGGTCTCGAAGGGTGAGGGCTAAAGGACAGTGCTCATCCCTTCCTCTACCTGTTCAAATCTCCAGTCCTCGTGGTCCGCCATAAAGGAGCTTTGCCCTAGCGACAGGCGCTGAACGTTGAACATCTCTGGGGTCTGCCCCAGCTCTTGTCCTTGGTGATTTGGCGTGATCTTGAGGGTCTACCCCTTCCTTTGATGAGCGGGCATCTCAGGGCTCTGCTCCAGCCCTTGTTCTTGACTATCAGGTGTTATCTGTGGGCTCTGCCCCTGCCCTCGGTACGCCACAAGGATGTCGGCCTGCGCTCCAAACAGGCTGGGACCAAGCAAAAGTTGGAGGACAGCTACATTGGAGAATGACGTATGCATTTCATCTTGAGACATCTCTTGTGTAAGATAGCAGCCATTATGTCGTCATGTGTGGGTGGATCAAAAGCGCCCGCCACACACTATATCAGGGCGAAGTAACCGCATTGTGGTCTATATCAACTTCCTGTGAGACAGTTTACACTACTAAAAGGGGAAATACTAGTTTGCTGTGGTCCTTGGATGACAATTGTTCATGCATGACTGCACCAGAAAAAGAGCAAGAAGGCTGCTGCTGGCGATACACTGGGCAATACATTTGATGTTGCATATTGTTCTGTACGGCAACTGCATGTCGTTCTGTACTGCAACAGCAGGAGTAGCAGTCTCTGGTCGAGTGCTACCTGACAAAATTTTGCATGCAGTTGCCTGCTGTTCCTCTGAGATTCTTTCATAGTTGCGAAGGCCATCAATAGACCTGTGCCCACTGCGGTCTTGGGTGACTTTTTCAGGCACTCCTGCTTTGCCCGAAGGGAGTGATTTGTTCTCTTCCCCGAGATTGAGGCTTGTTTGCACATTGTCTTAACCATTTTGCTTAGAGTGTTTTGCCAATAGCTACTGAAGTGAAGCAAGGTGTAGAAAGACTAACTGGAACCTTAGCCACTGGACGTAAGTAAAAAATATGAGAACGCTCACCCATATCTTCATCTTTGAACTGACGGACGAAGGAGATCGGGCTGACCAACACCGCCCCTTTGATTCTTCGAAACATTCTCTGTGTAAGTGTAACACACTCTTCCTTCAGGGGATGTACTATTTTTAACCTGAGACAACTTCAGCTCCCTGTGTTCTGTTCCTCCACGAAGCAAGAAATTTCGGCCATTGTATAAGAACACTGCGTTCAACAGGCCTTGCGGGCTGGAAAGAGACAAAACACCAGATGGCCATAGTTGGTCAATTTCAGCATCAGGCAGCGTTAGTGTCGGCGTAGAAGTTGCTCCTACCCCCTCTTCCCTGAGCTCACAGTACAAACCGTCACAGGTTGTCATCAGCTGCTTAAAAGCAGGGTACTCAGGAGAGAAGATATCGAACGGCACTTCTTTCTTCTCTTTCCTATGGCGATGAAGGCCACACAATAGCAGGTGAAGCGTTGTTCACCTGTCTTCTTCCTATTGATATAATAAACTTTTGCAGCCAAAACGAGAGGAGTTTCGGATCGTCAACTAGTAGTATGCCTGCAGGACAAGACGAATCAGGGTGGCGCAAGTTGTACGATGCTGACCAGTCTTCGAAGTTCTTCAGCGCCCAGCGCGTAGACACAGCGGTCTTTTTGGGGCAAAATGGCTGCTGGTAAGTTTCTAAACCTTTCGATGGACTTACGAAACGGGAGATCTCGGATTCAAAAGTTCTCCACATCGGACTTAGCGCCAACTTTCTTGAGCTTCAGAAATTTAGTGGTCTTCACTTTCTTCGCCGGCGGCGGCTGAGTCCATCCCAACTCCTCTCATATCCCAAGTCTGCCGGGTTATCTGGATTCCAATCCGTCATGGTGAGGGATGGCACGAAGAGCACTAGAGTGAGGGAGAACAGGAGAAGGCCAGAGGGACTAGCGCACGAGATGCAGTATGGCGGAGAAGCAGGAAAAACCTGTTTGAAAACTGGTTTAGGTCGAGACAAAGAAGAATTTTTGCGCCATTATCCGTAGCAATGCGGGTCATGACGACATAAATTACTTATGTCATGTCTGTAGTTCGGTACGTTTCCGGAATAAATGACGAGTCCCGAGGGCCGAGTGATTTATTCCGGCAACGTACCTCACGGACGTGACATAACTAATACATGCAACACAGATTCTTGAGCTTGCAAAATGGCTGAAGAGGGCAGGTTGTGAGGACCTTTTACATAGCACCATTTGTGCACCAAAAATACACCCAACTCATGAACTTCCGGAGCTTCAGCATGATATCTAGGGTGAACCCCTTTGTAAACCAAGAAGCTGTCTGAGTTTGGGCCAATACCACAGTTGATATGGAGACCAAGCCTTCTGTAATATAATTTTGGCAGTCATTGTAGCGCTTCCAGAGATACTGTAGGCTAGTTCAGGGACCAACTCTTTAAAGCTGTCCATGGGTGAGGCCGGGATCGCACGGAATCGACGTGCTCCTGCTCCTTGGCGGCCTTCTCAGAGAAAAGCGGTGGAGGGGACATCACAAACCTGTTGGGTTCTTCCACGAGGGGTCGTAAGTCTTTGTTTAGGTGTTATACGATCCATTTCCCCGCTCAGTGGCGATGTTTGCGTGGGTGTTCCCAATATACTTGAATGCCTGGGTTGGGCTGGCCTGGTGTTCTTCGAGCACTCTGGCGAGAGGGCCAACTGCGTCCAGGATTCTGGATGCGGCTGATCGTCCATCCATCCCTTTTTTCGGGGCCAGGGCATGGAGAGTGTTGTCCAGTTTGAGACATTTCGTCACGTTCATCGCTGTCATCCCTTGATGAAGGCGGGTTGTGTTAGAGACTGGTTTGGTAAAGGCCTCGGTGAGGTGGACTTCGCAGTAGAAACCAGGTGCAGTGGACAGACATCATTTGCATCGTCATTCTAGGGGCTCCACCGTTTTGGAGGCGTAGTCCCCCTTTGTGTGGTTTACAGCACCGACAGTATTGTTGCTTGTAGTGCGCAATGTCTCCGCCTCGTCTTCTTCATCGTACCATTTAATGTGTATCAAATAGAGCTCATGTATTCTGTGGTATCACCGTTCGTCTTGTACAGGACTAAACATGTACACTTAAACAGTGGTATGCACTGCTTACAGTACAGTACCAGTCAGAAAAAACGACACTGTTTTTTTTGTAGATACAACAAGACTACACTGTGTAGTTCCCACACCTTGCATTACACTACATTACGATTGTTGTAGTGTAATCCCTGTGTAACTGTATATTGTATCGGTAGCTACACTGATGCTACGATGTAACTACACTAATACTACAAAGTAGGTACACTGTTACCGCGACTACAATTGTTTGTGGGTAGATGATTGCTACACTGCTATTACTACAATGTGGTTTAGCAGTGCAAACATTGTAGCAGTTAAGAGTATAAAAGCCAGGTGCTGAATTTGACTGCAAGAGATTGACAGCCAACAGGTCTTCAAGTGAAGCACCAACATTAGTGGAAACATTAGTGGAAACTTTATATGTAAGTACGTACCTCTCTGCCCACACGTTTTTGTAGCGTTTAGCTTGCTCTACATAAGTAAAAAGTTTATTATGCTTAATAACCGGCAGGGATCGGTTAAGATGGTGCTCTCTACCTATGAAAAGCAGCGTATTTTGTTTTTCCACGAGTCTAGACTTTCACCATCACAAATATTATCAGCTCTAATGGCCGAGAACATTGTTACTACACGGCAAACTATAGCACGTTTCATTAAAAGGTTTTCGGCAACAGGTGCAATATTTCGCAAGGAAGGCTCGGGAAGACCTTCGAAAATTAACCAATCGAGTACTGCAACTTGTAGAGCGAAGAATGAGAGAGGATGACGAGATTACTGCTGTTCAACTACATACTCTCCTTATTGCATGTGGCATATCAATAAGGTTATCTACCTCACAGCCATTCATCTCTCGGATGGACCTATAGGGGTTCCAAATACTGTCAATTAATCAGGAGTCAGAACAAACAAACGACTTCAATGGGCATACGAAAATTACATAGAGAATCTTAATAATGGCTTTGAGGATGTGATTTGGACCGATGAGACTACTGTTCAACTGGAGACCCACAGGAGGCACTCCTACAGGAAAAGGGGTGAACAAGCAACCCTGAAACCTCGTCCCAAGCATCCTATTAATTCGTTGCACACGGAAGGCCAGTATAATGGCCGTTAATCTTCCTCCGCGTAGCGCCACTATAGTGGCCACGTAAAATTACATAAAAGGGAGTGTGCGCGCTATTTGACGCGTGCGCAAAATAATTACGCGTGGACAACATTGCGGGTGTACGTACGCACGCCGCGTGCAATGAGTTATGGTTCATGTGTGGGCAGGAATTAGCAAACGTGGCCCTACACCTGTTGTGATTTTTAAAGGAACAATGAATGCCGAATTTTACGTCTCCATTTTGCGAACTAGCTTATTACCTTTTATTCGGTCCACCTATCCTGATTCACATTGTTTCATTGAAGAAGTAGAAGAGGCCTGTTGCAGGTGCCCATAATTCTGCGGTTGTTGTGGAAGAGATGAAGAGGTAGAAGAGGATGCAATACTGGGGAGGATACGATGGAGCAGTTGATGTTATATGTTTAAGAGGAATTGTAGGCGACCAGAGGTTTCTTCGTGGTGGTGTGGATGGACGGCTGTAGTAACTATAAGCGAATTCTCTTGAGAGCGGCGAGTTTGAGTTCATTGACGAGGAGGGACATCCCCTCAGCGCTGCCACAATATCGACAACGTCATCCGAAATAGCTCTGAGTGATGATAGAGAGGACCAGAGGGGCTCATCCGCAGCCAGCAAGACTACTAGGACACTACCTGAGCAGATCGAGGAGTTTTCCTATACGTCGAAGATCCAGTGGCAGTAATAGTAACAGTACTAGCGGAGGAAGAAGGACTTCACAGGCGTTCAATGGACTCATGATTGGGGTGGGCGGAGCTGAGGTGGTGTATGCTGCAGTCTCTGCTCTCATGAGACGATGATTTAAGGAGCTATAATAATTATTCATGTCTGTCAACACTCTGATGCTCTGTATTTAAATTTAATAAACTGTCTTATCCACAACCTGCGAAGATGAGATGTCCGATTATGTGCCAAGTAATGTTCGTAGGAGGGGAAGTTAAGAATCAATTATTGTAAGTGAAAGGGAGGGAGCAAAGTGATTCTAAAAGTGCACTGGTGTCTTCGTCATTAAGTTCAACAAACGCAGGTGTTTGGGTGGAAGTGGCAAGTGGTGGAGCGATAACAGTAGGAGCTGTTACAATTGGCGTGGGAGCTGGTGGGGCTGGTACAATTGACGTGGGAGCTGGTGGGGCTTGTACAATTGATGTGGGAGCTGGTGGGGCTGTACAATTGACGCATAGAGAGCTGGTGGGGCTGGGTACAATTGACTGTGGGAGCTGGTGGCGGCTGCGGTAACAATTGACGTAAGAGGACCGCTGGTACTAATAGACAACTTTACGCTAAGCGAAAGAATTTGATTAGAAGTTTGAAATTACACGTTTTACGTCAAGTCCCGGAGAGCTACAAAGTAGTCTTCACAGCGAGCCATGAGATTGTACACAAACATAGCACGATATTACGAATGCCCCCAGACGCTCACAGTAACCGTAAGTCCGCAATATAACGCATATCCAGTAATATGCTAGAACTGTCTCGTGCATGCACCAGGTGCAACCAGAACCAACAGACATGTAGTCCCCGTCAGTTCCCATGTGTGAGGAACGCCAAATCATGCCTGGTGATCACGTGGCATTGTGTGCGGAATACTCGGAAGAAAAGAAAGACCCATAGTGGTGTCCATGCATCGGCGTACCTAAGGAAAAAAGCAAGAGGCTGCGAGTGGCTGACGGCTCTGAACAGAACGATGCTGACATCGACTGTCACCACCGAGTGTGTAGTCGACACTTCACTGAAGGCGACGCCAAACACGATCCTCAGCTGAGTCTAGGCAAGAGGTTTGCATTGCCGAAAAAGACGTGGACTGCTCGAGCAAGGAGAGCTAAGACACGAGAGGCAGCTCGAAACCTGTTTAGTCAAGTGGAAAGTACGTCAACCTCGGGGAGTACATCGGCCAAAGATGACACTGCGGCAGTTTCAGATAATGAAGCAGAGGTTGAAGAAAACCCTCTGTTGGTAGCACAAGTTGGAGAACAGCTGGAAACGGAGTATCAGCTCCATGAACTTCCAACAGATGACAGTTTCTCAACAGCAACCTCGACAGAAGCAGGTACTGTTCTCTCCTCCAGTTTTACTTCTGTGTCTGCCGCTGACAGGAGTACACAGGTACTAGTTCAGAAAGCACTGCTTTCGAGGATTGAACTCCTCGAGGCAGAAAACAAGGATCTGAAGTGCTCCAGGTATGTCAGTGTCATTTAACTCGACTGAACTCGTACTGGCGCCCACAGTATCGCTGCTCGTGATGTTTTTACTGTCTGGAACTCGAATAATCTGACGCGGCACAGCCCGGGAACGGTGAGAGCTAGCGACTTCGTTCTTGCTGCAACTGGACCTTCGAGGTTGTTTAATTTTCCACAGTTCGGTTAAAAAGAATACTCCGCTCCACGGCTATTTTGTATTGTGTTCTACGGGTATCCGTTGTCTCCCAGTACTCCGGACGCGACGAGCGGAACAATTAAAAATAATTAAATTCCTCGGCGTAAAAAGTTTTCTATTGACGTGGGAGCTGGTGGGGCTGGTACAATTGATGTGGGAGCTGGTGGGGCTGGTACAATTGACATAGAAGCTGGTGGGGCTGGTACAATTGACGTAGAAGCTGATGGAAAGAAGCTGCATAACTTCTCAAACCCTTCATTAATAGCTTTAGTCATCTGATGAAGATTTTGAGTGAAATTTTTAACCCCTTTGGATGCTTTTGCCAAAGTTTTATCTTCACACCCTGAAGTGTTTGAGCAGTGAGTAAACTAAAGGTGGCTCAGTGCATGCTTTACTTACATGTATCCGCCTTCCTGGTTGGTAGTTTAGTAGGTGGTTCAGGTGCTGAGCTCGTGTTGTGATTGGCTCTCCTAAGGCAATAATAGTACACATGAAGTTTATCAAGTTGACTGAATTGTGATAGTACTATTTTCTGTTACCTTTCTCGTGAACCTTCAATAGCTTGCCACTCTCTTTTCCCTTTCTTCCACCTCTCGTTTATATATGTGAAAAGAACAGTAAGCAGTGCTACTATACAGCAACTTACATGCTTCAAATTCTTGCAGGGGTTTTCTCCAGCATCACACTCTCTATCATTTTCAGCTCTCTCTTTTCCCTTTCTTTTGTCCTCTGCAAAGATGGCAATGTAATGGTTGAAAAGAGAAAAAGGTGTCATTTACAGGTTTGCACAGTTTCTGGTCAGCAACAAAATTAGCAGCAGGAGGTGATTGGCTGGTCTGGTGGCAGTGCTGCAGAAACGGAGGCAGAAACATTTGATACAAAGGCAATGAACACATTCCACATGCTGAACTGAAATTATGTGCTTACCGGTGATTGATGTCTGCTCCGCTTAATGGGGAGAGCCCAATCCAGAGGATTTTGCTGATAAATATTTCTCTGCGTCACTGTCACAGCCCAGGTTTTTCCTCCCCCGATGTTCACTGTCACCGGGCCTCCTTCAGCCAAACTCCCATCGATCACCCACTGAGCTGGGACATCCTCCACCTTCCCGTCGTATTTTTTGGAGTTGTTTCACCCCCATCTAATTCTTAGACGTTCCACCACTCGCGCAGCAGTCGGTTCCGCTACATGTACTGCCCCGCCCCCTTGTTCGACAGTCGGCGGCTCCGCTGAGAAACCGTCGGCTGAGCCCTCGGCTGCCGCTGTCTGATCCGAGGTCTGATCTACTTCAAGGCCTCCGTCCATCGCCTCTTGACCTTGCGCGTCCGCCTGTTCGTTGTCCGCGGCGGTCTCTGCCAGTTGTGCCGCTCGCTCGGTCGCAGTCTCGCTCGCGTGGTCGTCTTCGCTCGTCATACGCACGTCCGACGTTATCCCACTTGGTGACTGCACTGACTCGCTCTCCAAGAAACTGCAGGGCTGATGACCCGGTGGGTACGCTTATAAAAAAACTTCGGAGCTCCCATGGCGTCGATCCCAAGAGGGTGACTGACCGCTTTGGTTGACAGAACTCAGTGGGTGACTGACCGCTACGTGTAGCTGCGGTCGTGGTAAACTGCGCTCTCCCAGGTGTGAGTAGTATCATTATTATAATACGCCAGCGTAATTATAGCTGTGTATTGTGTAGCTACGCTGTAGCAGTTGTAGCTACACTTACAAAAACATTGGGCTACATGTGTAGATCGGAGTATATTGTAATTACACTACAGTACGTTTTTGTAGTGTAGTGTGTAGAAACAACTTCGTAAATTTGGTGCGTTTTTTCTGATGGTACGTATATTTTAGTATGTCAATGTCTACTGGTCTCATTTGTCAGCAAAATACAATATGACGTTGCCTCCTCAATTCCTCCTGCTGCTCTCTCCTTCCTATGTCCTCCTCTCTCTCTCTCCTTCTCCTGTCCTCCTCCTCAAACACTGGTCGGGTTTTTGGAACACTGGAAAAGCACCAAATGCAACCACCATCTCAAACGCTTATTTTGCACTTAGACACATAATTGGCCAGATCTCTCTGCGCTATAAAAAAGAAAAGAACTGTTTGTGTAACCCCAAAGCTAACTTACAGACGGTTTTCTTTGGTGATAACATGAGGGGACTCGCTGTGGAAAGTTATTATAATTATATATCCACTTAGCTAAACTCACACATTCTCAAGTTTTTTCACCCATTCTGGAGTGTAGCCTGGCTGCGACTGACTGGGCCAGTGAAAAGATGGTGAGGGGCGAGAGTGTGACAAGGGTGATTTTGGTGGAATTCTCTTGTTTCTAAAAAAATTCTGTTGAAGCTATAGCTAATGCAGTAACACATTCCTTCAGCCACCGACTTACCCAAACTGGTCAAATTCCAGCTTGGACCTAGGCGGAGGCGTAGGAGTCCGAGAGGTCTCGCGGCTGTGAGAAGAAGATGGTTATACGTAGCTACGTGCGAGGAAGCAGCGTACCTCCCGTCAGACAGTTGGAATCGGACCCTGTATATAGAGCTTAGAGGGATATTATAGCTACACCGTTACACTGAGATCTGCTCACTTCTTTGGAACATATTCCACCATCGCATGCATTTATATAGCTCACAACGCTTTTGTGGATTGCGCGACGCCCTAAATTCGCAGTTCAACCACATGTCTGTCAGCTACTTGAAAGATGAGAAAGAGAGGGGAAGTATGCCACTCGAGGGTGCAGAGAGCTTGTTTTCCGCGGTAGTCCATGCATCTAGTTATGCGAACAAGACGCTGAAGGGCTCAAGGGTCTGGCTTGAGGGACTGCATTGTATTCAGGGTGCAAATTGGCACAGTCGGCAGGATGGCTGGACCCCAGTCCACTTCTTCTTGGTCCTGCCAGCTTAGTCTCTGAACCCCTTGGCAAATGGGGTTGCACTAGAATGTGCCATGGTTTACTCTACACCCCAAGAGTGTTTGTAAACATCAACTTAAGCGTAACGAACACCCCTGAGGTGCTCCAATACACCCTGCCAGTTTTTGGTACAGAAAATGGGGTGTTAGAGAACACCATATTTTTAACAGTGTATAGACTTGTAGTAAAACTACGCTCTTCGAGTCCACCAGAGTAATACTACGATCTCGTTTACGCACACGTGTCATTGTATTTTCTAGAAGTAGTAGCTACGGCTTAGCTACGCTGTAGCAGGCGTAGCTACACTTAGAAAAGCTCTGGGCTTCGCGTGTAGATCAGAGTATATTGTAATTATACTACAGTACGTTTTTGTAGTGTAGTGTTCGTAGAAACACTTTGGCATTAAACGCTCATTTATAAGTATAATCAACCCCACCGCTTAATAGCACTTTCATCATAGTTCTCGCCACATAGAGGAATGAATGAGCTGGCCTCTTGGCACCTCTCCCTCACATCTATCACAGTTTTGTTCTCGTGTTTCACGCTCAACCATAGGCTAGCTCCCTGCATGTCTCCTCCTTCGTCACCTCACGGCGGCAGCAACTGCACCTCACCCTTTTCCTCGCCTTCCTTGATCTCCCTCTATAGCACCACAGCGACTCACATCACTTCGTGTCCGCACAGATCCACCACCCCGACCTGATCACCGATCCACATCCCACACACACGTACCGCTACGTGGGTCGTTGGTGGTCGATGTCCTCACATTCATCTCAATGTCGAGGATGGAGAACATGGCTGCAACAAACGACTTCCCTGCCCCTATTCGACAGGAGGTTGATATGCTCCTTCCTCGTCGTGCGGAGATGTCGGACAGAGGTCGCAGAAGGTGTGGGACAAGGACTGACGCTCCGTGCTGGACTCGGAGTCGTTGAAAGACTGATATATAGTGGTGCAGAGTTCCCTCCAAACATCCTCAGAGGCCCCTCAGTGATGTAGTTGCGGAGGGAGATGGAGGAGGTGGTGGGTGCATAATCGACTATTGGAAGATGCGTCCTGTGAAAGTTCGTAGGGTAGATCGTATCAAGCTGCCGCTCCTTCATTTTGGAAAGGTGTAACTTTCGCCCCTGCGCTCCGCCTCCGTCTTCTTTTGCCCGTCATGCTCCGCTTGGCTTCCGCTGATCGCAGATCGTCGAAGGGGTGACCGGTGTGGATGTGGATAATGGTGAGGGTTCTCGTTTTGGTAAGCCGCGGCCGTGGCTTGTGAACAATGGTCGTGCCCAAAAAAGGCAACACATAGGTTTGAATGCCTAGTACATATTATATGCCCAGACATGACAGCATAAGCCCTAACTGGACAGCATTCACCCTTAGGGTTCATGCTGTCCTGCAACAGATTTGTTGGATAGTACCTAGCCCATACTGTTTCCTTAATCCGGTAAGTAAACAGCCTCGTAATATGTCCTGTACCAGAACGCCACCTATGCCTTATCCATTACTTACCAAAGGGCCAGCTCCCTTGCATGCTGCTCCTCGCTCTCATGGCGGCCAGCAGCTGCACCTCACCCTTTTCCTCGCCTCCCTTGATCTCCCATATAAGCCACCACACACCCCCACTCACCACCGCCACATCACACCACCCCTGACACCTTCTCACCATCCACCCCACACCAGTCGCTTCCTGGGTCGTTGGTGGTCGATGTCCTCACAATCATCTCAATGTCGAGGATGGAGAACATGGCTGCAACAAACGACTTCCCTGCCCCATTCGACAGGAGGTTGATATGCTCCTTCCTCGTCGTGCGGAGATGTAGGAACAGAGGTCGCAGAAGGAGTGGGACAGGGACTGACGGCTCCGTGCTGGACTCTGAGTCGTTGAAAGACGATATATAGGTGGTGCAGAGTTCCCTCCAAACATCCTCAGAGGCCTCCTCAGTGATGTAGTTGCGGAGGGAGATGGAGGAGGTGGTGGGTGCATAATCGACTATTGGAAGATACGTCCTGTGAAAGTTCGTAGGGTAGATCGTATCAAGCTGCCACTCCTTCATTTTCGAAATGTGTAACTTTCGCCCCTGCGCTCCGCCTCCGTCTTGTTTTGCCCGTCGCGCTCCGCTTGGCTTCCGCTGATCGCCGATCGTCGAAGGGGTGACCGGTGTGGATGTGGATAATGGTGAGGGTTCTCGTTTTGGTAAGCCGCGGCCGTGGCTTGTGAACAAAGGTCATGCCCAAAAAAGGCAAGACGTACGGTACCAGTCAAAAAAAATGCACCGTAGTTGTGTTACAACTCCAAAACTTAAAGGTGTTGCTATGGTATTGTACTCAGTGCTTGCATGAAGTTTTGGCCTTTTACGACGCGGTACACATGTGGCACTGGTTGGTTTAACCACTGTAGTAACATTACGTACAATCCTTGCTGTAGTACGTAGGTATGCTGTAGTGTTGCTACATAAGTGCATTTTATCACTGTAGGACGTGTAGCTACACCTGTCTGTACATTGTATGTATGTACATGATTGAAGTACGTAGTAATTTGTTCTTTTCACCGACATAAAGTACGCTATGGCTCTTTGATATGGACACAAATGCATTTTATCACTGTAGGTTGTACGTATACACATACGTACGTGTATAAATACGTAGCAATCACTTCAGTTTTATCACTGAGCAGGACTGCAGGCTAGCTATAATACTGAGTTGAATCTTACTGGTGAGTTTATGTCTATTGTGACAGCAATATAAAATACGTGTAACCCTAAACTAGGAGCTAGGCTAGGGGAAAAGTGGAAAATACGGTGAATACTTACGTAAAAGTGCGACTGTACTGGCAGGTATATACCTCAGCGGATTATTGGCGAGCGGGAGCGAGCCAGCTTAGTTGTGCTAACGGCCTGAATTGTATATATACGACAGCCTGGACACAGTGATTGTTTTCTGCAACGCCAACCAATGAGTGCGGGAGCTCTGGCTTTCGCACGCAGGTTAGGCAATGCTGTTTTACCTGCATCTATGGAGAGCTTGTCACTAAAAAGCACATATGCAATTGTATGTTGGCTCGCTCCCACTCGCCAAAAATGCCCTTCCTTCGCCTCTATTATACATACATATCCATGTCGCGTTTTTAAGAATTGTGTAGAACATTAATTACGGTGTCACCGCAAAATAATCTCTCGTTGTGATGACTCACTCTTCACCAATAACGAATGAATGTGTGCATTATTACAGGCCACTGTACATTGAAAAATGGTCCTATCAATATATGAGAAGCAGAGGGTTCTTTTTTACAACAGTGCAGGACTGCAACCATCGCAAATAGTTTCTGCTCTTAAAGTTGAGGACATACGGACAACTAGACAAACAGTGGCACGCTTTTTAAGACGATTCCAGCAAACTCAAACTATAGCACGGAAAGAAGGCTCTGGAAGGCCCTCCAAAATCACCCCCCAAGTCAGATATATAGTTGATCAGGCCATGAAAAATGATGATGAAACCACAGCAACTCAGATACACAAGCTTCTAACAGCTCGGGGAATTTCAATCTCATTTTCTACCATCATTCGCTGCCGTTCAATGTTAGGGTGGACTTTCAGAGGATCAAAGTACTGTCAGCTTATCAGACGACAAAACAAGATTAAGCGTTTTATATGGGCCTGTGATAATTTTACTGAAGCTGTTAACAATGGTTTTAGTGATGTAATCTGGACAGATGAGACTACAGTGCAACTTGAGAGTCATCGACGCCATTCTTTTAGAAAAATGGGTGAACCAGCTGTTTTAAAACCCCGCCCAAAGCACCCAATAAAACTTCATGTTTGGGCCGGAATAAGTCGAAAAGGGCCTACACCAGTTGCTATTTTTGAGGGCATAATGGATGCTGAATTTTACATTTCACTGTTGAGATCACATCTCCTTCCATTCATAAGACATACGTTTCCTGACTCTCATAAATTGATGCAAGACAACGACCCTAAACACACTTCAAAAGCAGCAAGGCGATTTTTTGAGATGGAATCTATAAACTGGTGGAAAACCCCTCCTGAATCTCCCGATACGAACCCTATAGAGAATCTTTGGCATGAGCTCAAAGAATTCATCAGACGTGAAGTAAGGCCAACCACAAAAGCTGAATTGGTTTTAGGAATAAAAAAATTCTGGGACACGGTTGATGTCACAAAATGTAACAAGTACATAAATCACCTACGAAAAGTAGTACCAAAAGTTATTACAGTAGAAGGAGCTGCAACAGGCTACTGACATACACATATGTAATCTCAAGTTTCGTTGTCACATTCAAATTTTATTATAGCGCTTGCATTGTTTTCTTTCCCATTTTTGAATAGTAAATTGATTGAGTAAATCCTACAGAAATAAATGATGTGATTGGTGCACTATGTAATGGTGGTCCACATGTGAGAGGTGATATGAAGCGTATATCTTAGCTCCCCTTCTTTGCCCGCAACAGTTTACATTTTTGCCCAATGGCAACTCTGCATCTACGCCACAAGTCTTCTTTGTCAGCCATTGACCTGTTTCCAGCAAATTTTGAAATTATCAAATGCTTTATCTCCTCCATTTTGATAGGATCAAGCCTTGCAGCTGTTGTCTTCGCCATTACACTCTCTCCAAAGAAATAAAACTGGGCAAGGTGTACAGCCACTCGCCCGGCATCTTTTTCTTTTGAGTACCGGCTCATTATTTCGCTTATTGGTCGCCTGGGAGATGATGTTGGTGGCGGCATCATCACTGCCCGTGGTGGGGTCGAGGGAAGCAGTGGCTGAGTGGAGATCGGAGGCTGGTATTGCGGCAAGTTGGTGGATATCGTAGGCTGGAATTGCGGCTGGTTGGTGGAGATCGGAGGCTGGTATTGCGGCAAGTTGGTGGATATCGTAGGCTGGAATTGCGGCTGGTATTGCGGCAAGCTGGTGGATATCGTAGGCTGGAATTGCGGCTGGTATTGCGGCAAGCTGGTGGATATCGTAGGCTGGAATTGCGGCCGGTTGGTGGAGATCAGAGGGTGGTTGGTAGAGGGGGAGGGCTGGTACTGAGGCTGGATGGTTGAGTGTGAGGGCTGAAGCTGCTGTGGGTGCGCTGGCTGTGGTAGCATTGAAAAGCTAGGGAGGGGTTGACTCATCGAATATCTGGGAAAATTGTTCATAGGCATAAGTTCTGGGGTGGGTGTGAGGCTGGGAACTGGGCTATTAGGTGACACAAAACTGTTTGTTATTGTTAGTGACTCCCAAGCCTCGGACAACACTTCGTCTGGAATGTCATCCAATGGGTCAGTGGCTGGCATTTTGGGTGGTGCAGGCGATGGAGGTGCTTGCGGCAGGGTCAGGGAGGTGTTGTTCAGCTGCAGTTGCTGCAAAATAAGCATCTGTGTTTTCTGCATTTGCACTAGAAGTTCGTTGGTTAGGTTGCGTTCTTCTGTGTCTGCATTGAAGTAAACATATGTACGTTACGTCAGAAATACATGTATATACATGTACTGTAAGTAAGTACGTATACACTATGTTGATGCACTATGTTATTACTTACTTACGTATGTACATACGTACGTACATACATGCCTACGAACCATGACTGGTCGTTTTCTTCTTCTTTGTGGCAGGTTTCCCTTCTTCTTCAGTAACCATTTTTGCCTGTGGGTGTTTCCCTGTGGAGACATACACTATTATAATTATTGTACGTACATAACTTCGTATACACTCATGGACATAATATGAACATGCATACGTACATACTATTTTACTAGAAGGCACAATATTTGGCAAGCAGGAGCTCAAACAGTGTTTCCTCCAAGCATATGCACTGTTGGACAACATGCAAACGTAAATTGTGCCACTTAGACCACTGGGTTACCTCGCTTTAGCTTAACAATATGTGTACATAGTTGCTTTTGCAGCCAACATGCACAAACACATTATGTACATATGTACATACGTATGTGGACAAGTGCATAGCTCTAAGTACGTACATACATGACAAACTCACGTACTTGATTTTCCCTTTCCCTTGTCTCCTCTTCCCTTGTCTCCCCTTCCCTTTCCCCTTCCCCTTCCCCTCATTGATGTCGGCTGTTTACGCTCTGTTAGAATTAAACAAAAAATGGATGTTGGGCAAGTACACATGTACGTATGTACGCAAGTATGAGATGAAGCCGAACCTATTATACAGGATGTCAAAAAGCCTGAGTCTACTGCAGGTGTTTTACTCTCTGTGGGGAGGGCAATATGTACCCCGCCATTACCCTCTGTGTCTGGAATTGGGGACGAGGCAGCAGCCGGTACTTTGGTGGTGACTTCTGCTTGTTCAGTAGAGGTACCTGGAGTTGAGGTACGTGGCCCCAAACCACAGTCCGGAAATGGGGATGAAGACGTTGATCTCGAAGTCCCAGGTTCTGAGAACAGATAAGGCATAATGATCGTCGCTGTGCATATAATAGTAATAATACTCACCACTCGATGCTCTAGATGGTCTTGGCTGCTTGATTGAGATAATTTCCTATAGGAAAGCATTCATAAGTATATAACGTAGTATGCAGCTGTGCAACATACAACATCATCCTCCAGCAGAGGCGGTGGCTCAGCTGCATCATCAGTTGGCTCTTCTTTGTCACCTTGTGATGGTGCCAGCGCTGTAGATACAAAAGACGACACTATCTGTGTTGCTCTCCTCAGTCGTTTATCAGGTAGGGCGGTGTCCAGTAGAGATGGTGCAGGTTGCTTTTCGAGGACAACCGCGTTCCACAATCTGCTGCCCCACTCCACCCGGACAGAGTCGCCGACACCACGTGCCCGGTCGCTCTCCAGGACAGCCTCTTCCGGTACATCCTGCGTACGGCCGTCGTAGCACTTCGAGCCGTTCTTTTCCCACCGGACGGTATACACCATCGACGTCATTGTGTATCCGCCCGCCGCCGGATGCAGCTAGCTAGCTTGACGCAGCAGGGCCTAGGGATCGATCGGGGCCGCCGAGGGGCAGAAGTAGCTAGTAGGCGGGAGAAGGCGCGCTACAACCGCGGGTGGTGAGACGCAGAGGAAAAAGAGGAGGAGGTAGATGGACCGGTCGTTCTTGCTTGTCTCAATGTCGCTCCGGTCATACGCCGCGTCGCTCTTGATAGACTAGCTGTTGGGAACCGTTGCAGATGGCAATAGAAACGAAGCAGCGCTTCTTATAGCAGCCACTGGTACGAACGCGCCTAGCCTGCGTGCGTCAGAGCGTAGTTTCTTTCCCACATCGCCAATCAACGCCTAAGTGCGAAAAGTGCACCTACCGTATGGTTAATACGTAGGTACGTAGTACAGTCTCATTTGGGTAGATTTTTGTTTCTCACTGTAGTTTATCTGTAACTACACACCTGTAGAAAGGTCTTGAAACAGTTCAGGAAATAGTAGTTACTCCCTTTTTGGTGTGTACATTGTGCTGTTGTGTAGATCTGGTTTTTACACTAAAACCTGGAAATACGGTGCGTTTTTTTTGACTGGTACGTA